TGTTGATGTTGATGTTGTTTACTGGTTATTATTGTTTGCATTGCGTGTTATTTTTATAGGTAAGTGGGAACCAGCCCAGATCACAGTTATGCAGCCCTCATCAATGGGGTTCCTGATGGCTGGACCCCATGATTTGGTCTGGTGGGAAGGTGTCATGATCTGGCCTGTGCCAGTACGGCCTAGCCAGCCTAGGAGGCCTGTGTGGCAGTAGGAGGCGGCTAGGCCTACAACTCCCAGAAGGCACTGGGAGAGTCAGAGGGAAGATTCTAAAGAGACCTTGGGAGTCGGTTGGGAGGACAGTCTGAGAGGAGACTGTGATAGTCTGGTGGGAGAAGGAATCTGAGCTGTTCGCTGAGGGAAAAGGGTGTCTTTTGTCTCTCTCTGTGGCCTGATCTTAGTGAGAAGATAGGCTGGGCTGGGAAGAGGAAGATCCCTCCGTCCTTCGTCTCTCTGCAACCTGATCTCAGTGAGAAGACAGGTTGGTCTGCGAGGAAAGGATCCCTCAGTGTGAGTGTTAGGCAGGCAGGCTGTGGGCCTGGAAGTAAAATAGTTAGGAGTAATAGACAGCTGCATTAGGTTATGTTTATTTTTCCTTTCACACTGTTATACCCTTTTTAAGCACCTTGCCGTGTCTTGTTTTTCCCTGCCCCACTGTTGTTTTAATAAACCCTTTTTGTGTAATTATTTTCTCTGCCTGGGTCAATCACGCCTGTATTGCTCGGCTGAAAAGGGGCTTGGGAAGGTACCCTGGGCCTCCCAAGGGACCATAAATCCAGGGTGGTGGCGGCGGAACCCAAAGACCCCTCTGGGGTCATGACAGATATATAGATTATTTCATATTATCCCAATTCAAACACTAGGTGAAACGAAAAACTTGCCAACTTATTTGCTAAAAATTAACTTTTCCCAAGGTTGCCATAAAACAGAGAGAGTGTGTGTGTGAATTATATGCCCTAACCACTATTCCATAAAGGCAAGCAATACTGGGAAATGGCTAGATTGCTGCTGTTCTCTTGTGAGAGGACAGCGTTGGGTTTAGCTTAAAGCTCATGTGGAAGGTCTCAAACTGGCAAAGAACTTTAGTTAGCCAAATTAGTACACCTTCTGATGCATCAACAGTAGCTGATACTACTGCAATTCACCTTTTCTGCCACTGGGGAGCCCTACCACAATCTCTATTGAACAGGGCAGCCTGGACCTAATACAAATGGGCTGGATCTTACCATTCTATTCTGTTGGCAGTGGCGTATTCCTCCAGTGTAAAGATCCCTCAGCTGATGCAAGAGGCTCTTCTGCCAGAGGAAAAGCCCTTTGTATCAGTGAAGGAATACTTGTGCCCAGAGGTCGATTTGGGGTGGATCGCGGGGGATCGCAGTTCCCCCGGGTGAGGTGCGGGGGGGCGGGGCACACGATGAAGCCCCGCCCCTGCTTCCGGCCGCCCTGCTTCCAGCCCTCATTCAGCCAGGAGGAGGCAGGAGAAGAGGGAGGGTAAGTTGCTTCCTCCCCACCTCTCCCCACCCCTGCCTGCCTGGGGCCAGGGAGGGCCTTGGCGGGGCTTCCTCGCACTCCCGCCACCCTTGCAGGTCCACCGCCGGGCCCCTGGTGTCAGGGGGTGTGGCATATGCTAATGAGTTATGCTAATGAGTTCCCCTAGCTCTTTTTCTATGAAATGACCCCTGCTTGTGCCAGAGAAATATGCTACCACCAGTAAAAACAAGAAGTAGAATCCAATCCAAAAGTACTTGTCCGCATATATTATCTCAATAATCCTTACAACAGCTCATCCGTATCTCAGTATTACTATTCCCGATTTACATGTGATTCTTATGTTCAGTGCCTAAGAGGCATCTGTAGTCACTGAAAACTGACAGGGAAAAGTATGCCCTGCACACGCACCCCTCCCAAAAATCCAATGCCCAGACCAAACCCCTGCGCCCAGAAACCCAAAATAAGGGGAGTGCATTTCTACCCCACTACAATGAGATTTCTGAGAAACACGACCCCTAAGGGGGTAAAAAAGGGACAAAATATGTTCCCCCAATTGTTTTCCATGTGCCTGGAAGGCTGCTGCCTCCTTGCCCCCCCCCCAATTGTCAACTGGGTAGCTCAGAGTTCTGAGGTAAAACCTGCCTGCTTGCACCCACCTCCCTCTGATTGCTCATCTGTGGATTTCAATGTTCTGAGGTAAAAACACAGTTAAAAGAGACTGCAGACAGTTGAGGACAGTTACAGAAATCAGCAGTTCAAGACTCCTGAATAGACATTTCTCGTAACAGCCAGCATGGCAATTGAGTTTACGAATGTTCATGGGAAGATAGTAAAGGACCTTTCTAGGAGTCTGCGCCAGAGTGAGCTTACCAAGCAGCCTGGTGATCCTAGCACCTGAGGGCAGAACCATCACTGTGGTCTACAGAGAGGTCTGTCGGTAGAGGGAGAAAAACAACAACAGTACATATGTCTCACTTCATCCTTTACACTACAATCTTCTCCATTAGAATTCCTACAACAAATGTTACATTTCAAATTTCACATCATCAGTATTATAACTGGATTTATGGAACTTAAATACCATAGCGAAGCCTGGGTATCAGGCTAGTAGATCTATAATACAAACCTATTTCTGGTCCCAAGCGGGAAAACTTCATGGATCCTGCTGAGGACACTACTGCACATTGGCCCAGCTGGCCCAGTTCCATGCTGATGTTTCTCCTTGGCAGGTAGGCTTCCCATTCAGATGTATTGAAAGGACCATCTGATGCCTCTATCATCTGAAAATTCAATCGTTCCCGGAGCTGGCACAGCAGTTTCTCAGGGCTGAGTTTAGCAGCATTTTTTATTCCACTGTAATTCACACGATATTTGTTCATAGCCAGGTAGTTTTTCCTCGCCTTTTGCAGTCTAGGGGTGAGATTTTTGGATGAACTGTCCTTGTTCCACACTTTTATGGAACCTGCTGGCTTTTTGGGGTTTGTTACTAAGTTACTTCCTGCTTGCCTTACAGAAATATTTTCTTTAACTTTGACTTCGGATGCTTTGGTTGACAAAAGCACCTTGTTAGAAATGTTGATAGATTGATGATGGACATTTTGTTGTTTTGGAATGCTCCCTTTCCATAGTGTTATGTGCACTTGCTCAGATGGGCTTTCTTCTTTTAAAGAAACATAATAACCTTTTCGTGTTTCCTTCCACAGACAAATAGTCAGAACTACAAGAAATGCAAGGAGGACATACATCCATTTTTTAACCAAGTTAACATGAACCATAATGTATGATACATCAGGTTGGGAAGATCAACTTCATCAGGTTGGGAAGATCAACTTCATCAGGTTGGGAAGATCAACTTCATCAGGTTGGGAAGATCAACTTCAGGCTGGAAGTTGTACCTGAAATACAAATGTACCGAAAACCTCAATAAAATAGGGGGAGGGAATGGAAGGATTCAAAATTAATTTAATCTATTCAGAACTGGTGAGGAGGAGGAGGTCAGGCATACATTTTGCAAACATCCTGAATATCCTCCCCCTCCAGCAGCAATGGTGGTGAGCCCTGCGCGGTTCCCTGCTGCTGGGCCCGCCAGACTTCTCCCCCTCTGCTGCAGCAACGGCCGTGGCTCCCAGCCACCGGCCGCCAAGGCTTCGCCGCCACTGCCAGCAGCAACGGCAGCAAGCCCTGCATGGATCTGCCACAGTTCGCAGTGGTAAGTTCACATGTGCACTTTGGAGGGGGGGTTTAAATATCCCCCGTATAGTTTTTTAAACTTATCAGATTTTTCTGCACACCTGGGGATTACCCCAACTGTGCAGGAAAATCTCTTTGCCCCCTAGGTGCACGCACGCAGGGAGTATCTTGACTATTAGTATATAGATTCTGAACTTTGAAACATGTAAGAACTTATTTTTCTCTACTTTAGGATGGGCCTCCATCCTTCTTAGAGAAAAAAGTGAGAATGGAATCCCCAAGACTGGGAGTCTGAGGAAACTCTTTCAACTGCTCCCTTGTGTACCAACGCTTGGAGCTGTTGGTGGAGCTCAGGATAGGGGTTATCAACTGCCATAGATGCAGGGGAACAAGGGGGCAATGACTTAAACGCTAACCTATAACCATAATAAACTATTGATAAAACCCAGGTGTCAGAACATATGGATTGCCATTCTGCAAAGAAATGGGCAAGTCTATTGCGAAAGCAACCTTCTTCTATCTGAGGTCATTCAGATAATTAGAATTTCTGCTCCGCTTGGCCCTGGTCCTTCTGTAAGCTGTGTTGACTCCCAGTCCTGGATCGGGGTGCTGATTTCCATTTCTAGAAGAGGGGTGACTGGTACGGGTGAAGATACTGATGAGATGCCTGATGCTGCTGCCACCTTTGGCCCTTATAGAAAGTGCTGGCAAAATCTTGCTGGCGAAGTGTGTAACATTGACATGGTGTCGATGAAGGGAGTACATCCAAGGATTTGGCTGTCTGTCTGTTCTTCTTTAGTCAAGAGGAAATTGTCTGCAGTCTGAGAAAAAAGCATGGCACCCTGAAAAGGGAGATCTTCCACCCAATACCTTGTCTCAACTAGGAGGGTAGTGGTGCATAACAGGGAATGCCTTCTCAGGACTAGGGCAGAGGCCATGGACCTAGCAAATGCATCTGCAGCATCTCTAGCAGCATTGATCTCCTGTTTAGAGAGTCTTATGGCTTTCGTCTGGAGAACCTTGGCCAATGAGTGAGATTCCTCAGGAAGGGTGTCCAGATAGTGGGAGAGCTTCTACCAGAGGAAGAAGTGCTATTCTTTCATGAGTGCTTGATAGTTCTAGTCAAGAAAAAGAGATTGAGTTTCTAGACACTCTAAATGACTGTGCTATGGAGCAGATGGTCATGGAACCTACCAGGGGAGAGGCGATCCTTGATTTGGTCCGAAATAACACTCAAGACCTGGTGAGAGATGTAAAAGTGATTGCACCATTTGGGAACAGTGATCATAATGTTGTTGAGTTCAACATTTGTATAAATAGGGAATTGGCCAAAAAGACTGACACAACCACTTTTAACTTTAAAAGGGGTAACTTCTCTGATACGAGAGGACATGTGTGAGGGAAACTGAAAGGAAAAGTAGAAAGGGTCAAAACCATTGGGGAAGCATGGAAACTATTTAAAACTACGATCCTAGAAGCTAAAAAAAAAAATATTCTGCAGGTTAGGAAAGGCACAAACAGGTATAGGAAAATGCCTGCATGGTTAGCAAACAAAGTAATGGAAGCTGTAAAAGGTAAAAAGGATTCCTGCAGGGGTCATTTCGTAGAAAAAGAGCTAGGGGAACTCATTAGCATAACTCATTAGCATATGCCACACCCCCTGACATCAGGGGCCCGGCGGTGGACCTGCAAGGGTGGCGGGAGTGCGAGGAAGCCCCGCCAAGGCCCTCCCTGGCCCCAGGCAGGCAGGGGTGGGGAGAGGCGGGGAGGAAGCAACTTACCCTCCCTCTTCTCCTGCCTCCTCCTGGCTGAATGAGGGCTGGAAGCGGGGAGGCCGGAAGCAGGGGGCAGGGCTTCGTCATATGCCCCGCCCCCCTGCACCTCACCCAGGGGAACTGTGTTCCCC